GCCTAGAGAAGCCATTGAAAAAGGCTAATAAAATACTTTGTTAAAAGCGTCGATTTCTTACTGCAGGTGCTCCAGTAACTTCGGTTTGTGTGGATCCGAGTGGAAAATTGTTAGTTTCGGGGCACGAAGATGCATCTGTAATGCTCTACGATATTGTTGGTGGTAAAATTGTACAAGTTTTTCGTCCACATGGTGATGAAGTCCGAACAGTGCGATTTAGTAACGCTGCATACTATCTTCTCAGTGGCTCTTATGATAAGAGGTCATCCTTTCCGGTATTTTTAGCAATATTTCTGGGCGGCTGCTTTAATTGGCAAAAAAATTCCAGCGAAACTTTTGAATAATTTCTGCGTTTTCAGAGTGGTTATAACGGATATGAGAGGAGATTTGATGGCACCGCTCATGTATCTGCCTGTTGCTGAACATAACGATAAAGTCATACAGTGCAGGTAAGTTTTTATGCACTGGCTGCAATAAGTGTCGAAGTAGGAGCACGGTGTTTACTACTTCAACACCATCGTACTGAAGGCAATGACATATGGACGCGAGACACAGGCACTGACGAAAGTTGAAGAGTGAATGCTGGCTCTGACAAAGAGTGCGACGGATACTTGATGTACCCGTTCATGATTACATAAACAATCAGCCTTTTCGTCAGAGGAGCGGCGTGCAGAACATCGTTGTAAAGCACCTACGAAAGTAAAATCCGATGGGTAGGATATGTTGCGTGCCTTGCCGACAACTAGTAGATGCTGTAGATTAGTGCGTGGTACCCGAGAAAAAGGGAACGACCACTCAGGCAGTTTCCGAAGACGTGAAAATATCCATCGAGCAGTTGTTTGGACAACTCAGGATGGAAGGGCCAGGTATAGCAGCGTCCGACGCACTAGAGCGTCCAGCAGCACGGGATACCCACATTGGTGACCGGGTGATTAGCATTATCTCAAGCATTCTTCGAAAGAAAAACATGCGAATAACTTTTTCAACGAGGAGTTGGTATTAACAATTTTCGGGTTACTTCCCGGTACCTGTACCTTTCACCAGCGGTGAGAGTGGGAGATGTTCCGGACGTATAATAAACATGTGAGATCGTCCAAACAAACGTCGGAAAAATTTTGATATTCACTTTTTCGGGTTCAAAGATATGTCTGATATAAGTCCGAAGTACTTTGCAATGGAAGGGTCCCGTTCGAACGGTTGTATGGAATTACGTGGATAAAAGATACGCACAGCGATGAAGAAAGAAGTTGTCAGATGCATCAGTGGCGAGAAGAAAAGTGGCAGGAAGCAGCATTTGACCAAAATTTGGTATTAGTAACTAGTATTAAAAGTACAACAAAGTTAAGTTTTTTGCAGATGGCATCCTCACGACTTCTCATTTCTCAGTACCAGTGCTGATCGTACTGCTGTACTTTGGTCCCTTCCACCACCATCTCAGTACCAGTAATGGCACCAAATTTTATATCAAATCGAAATGAATCGTTTTTAT